CTGGAAGAGATGAACTTACTCTCACTCCGCGTTCAGACATACAAGACAATCACAAGAAGCTAATAGAGCAGTTAGATATGGTGGAGTCGCGACGCGATGCGGCCATGGAACAAATCTTACAAGAGAAAGCAAAGGTAGCCAATACCTATAACAAAAGGGTGAAGCCGCGGTCTCTTGAAGAATGAGACATGGTCCTCAAGCGCGATTTCCAGAAGAAGGACGAGCACGACAAACTGGCCGCAGCCTAGGAAGGCCCCTTCCTCATTTGAGAAAAAATGGGTCCCTACACCTTTCGCCTCACAACCATGGAAGGCGTCCCGTTCTCCAAAACGTGGAATGCCATGCACCTGAGAAAGTACTACTCAGATGAGGTATGAGGAATTTCATGACATAGCAAATACATTTTTAGTGGCTAGGGTAACACGCCCACCACTTGTAATAGTGTATTGGTCGCTACTAAGAAATTACTTTTGCCCAATTAATACACTCATATTTTTTGCTAAACTTCCAACCACTTATCTTTTCACTTTTTAACTGGCATGCGGTACTTGTGGCATAATCAACTTCCCGCCAAGTCGATCATTCTTAACACGGTCAAATGACACTCGCCTCTCATGCAAACATTATAAAGCGGTCTCAAAATAACAAGTAATATAAACTAGCTCCACAAGGTAGCCAGATAATCGTCCACAAACTCGGAACACCTGGTGCTCCCGAAAGATAAAAGTCCTAATGTCAAGATTACAGACTCCAACAAACATCATAGTAAATGAAGAAAATGAAGCACCTCAAACGCTCTGAGAACTTTCGCTTCCATCTCCGCCCTCACCTTCACCTTGAGAGGCAGCCTCATCTTCCTCTTCCTCCTCCTCATCAGCCTCAGAGTTAAGATCTAAATCAGTCCAGCTGCCAATCGCATCCCAGATGCAGTCAGTGTTCCAAACCACATTGAGTTGATCACGATGGAACCAGTGTCGAATGGCAGCCACCGCATGCCCAACGATACTATTATATTTCACATTATCAAATGCCAGGAACTCAGCTGACTTACGGCTCTCTTGCAAAGCCGCCTTGGCGAGCTTAAGGGCGGCCACCTCCTGCTCCTCCAACAGCGCCCTCACCAGCTCGTCCGACCTCCGTACCTTCTCTTGAAGCTGATCCCGCTCATCACGAACCACCTTGGAAGCATCCTTCTCTACAAGCAATTCCAGCTCCTTCAGAGCCAATCGCTCTTCAAAGTCCCGCATCACTTGCGGTCTCACTTCTTCCATCAGTGCCTGTTGCCCCTCGCCAAACCCTTCTTAAGATTGGCGATCTCGTCCGTGTTGTCATCAACGGTCTTAAACAGGTGGTCATTGAGCATGATGACTTGCGAAAAACCAATTTGAGCCTGAAAACATAACATCGAATAAGACCACATGCAGAATAAGTGGCCAGGAAAATTTGATACACAAGAACTCACCGTGAAGAAGAATTGGGTGGCGGTCTCAGCAAGATTCTTGTTGCTGTCGCGTGAAGAGACGGTATACTCAGAAGGCGCAAGCTCGACAGCCTCGCCATTAGTGGCTGCTTGAGGAGGAAGGTGCATAGAATTTGACTTGGCCGACCGCTTCACACCCTTCCTGCGGTTATCCACCACCTTCGCGTGTGAGGAACCGGCCTTCGCACGTTCACCGATCAAACCCGAGACAACCTGTTCCGACGAACTCTTACCCGCACCTCGCTTAACCGCACCGGACGAACCAGCAGCTAACTGAGCCTGTGGGTGTGGGACCGCAAGCAAAGAGACTCTTACCGCTGCAGATGAAGAAAGACCGCCACGGACTTGCCGACCTTCACGACCATATTCTTCTTCTTTGGCCTAATTGCATCAGCCAATTCCTTCAAACCTGGAAGAAGCGGGCAAAAGTAAAATTACATGAGAAGAGGGAAACGCAAAAACTAAGGAAATATGCTACTAACCATAAAAATCACGAACAAGTTGATATGCACTCCCATAACCGCTAGGGAATACACGCAGCTGAACCCCTTCGGTGATGCGGTCAACATGGTCCCTCACCGACTGCGGAAACTAGTTTGAAACACACCAATCATCTTTGGGACCCACAACGTACCCCGTAAAAGGGGCGGTTTCCCCCGAGCACCACTTCCAGGTGGGACGCACAAAGAAGTACTCTCTGTACCAGGGCGAGTCCAACTTGGGCGACCCCGGGATAAAACCCACTGAGTTCTCCCGTCTTCCAATAGACCAACAGTTAGTCGAATCTCGGATGCTGTAAATCATCCAGAATGCATCAAAGGAAGGAGCCTCTTTGAGGCGCTCATATGCAAATTGCTACATCACGGAGTGGAAAATAAAAGACGGGGACAAACGCCCAAGGGTACACTGGAGCCAATGCAAAACCTTAGTGAGAATGGTGTCTAGAGGAAACCGCAATCCCAACTTCACGTGCTTAACGTGACTCAGAATCCAACCACTCGGACACGACCTAGATTGGCTCGCCTCGGACGGGACCGTATACTGCCATTATGAAGGCAGACAGAGCTAACTCAAGCGATGAAGTACCTGCTCGGGCTTCAAAGTTGCCTCATACGATGGCCCAAAGCCAAATAATTCAGGAGGAACTGATTCTTCATCCCAAATACCCTCGTGCCGCAGTATGGTGTAAGTAGAATCCTCAATAGCCAGTGGAGGCGTCCCCCTACCCTCTGACTCAGAAATCTCCAAAGAGGACGAAGTGCTAGGAAGCGCCTCCAAGCGTACCCCACCACCGCCAACCGCATCATCCTCATCCAATGACCCGCTATCTAAATCTATGTCTCAAACTCACCCAAATTGTCCCCAACCGCGGACGAAGTGGCCACGACCCCAACTGGTACAGGTTAGATGTTAGCAGAGGAATTATCTAAGCCTAAAGCGTCCCTGAAAAGACAATCGTCTAATTCAGAACCGCTTCCAAAGTATAATTCAAGCCCGGATAAGTCCTCCACACACTCAGAAACGCTTCGAACGGGAGTAGAACAGGTCGTACTTTGAGTGATGGAGGAAGTGCCACCAGAGGTCGCCGCAGGCTTCTTGCCAGAGGCAGGGGAAGATGAAGATGCATTCGAAGTCGCATGCTTCTTCCCGGAGGTAGGGGAAGACTACGACAAAGTCGCATTCCCAAGACCTGGTCAGGGGTGACCGTCGGGGCGGGGTCGGCGGCAAGGGAGCCTTCAGTGGTAGCGGCGGCCTATCCTAGATCGCTGGCAGACGGAGTTTGATCTTTGCTCGACATAAAACGACGACAAACGGACCGGTGAAATTTGTTTCGCCAAAAAAAATCCCACAAAATTCGAAACACCAGACAATGGTGGTGTTTGGATAAGCAAGATAGAAACGAGAGTAGTCAGAAGGAAGAAAGGGTCGCACGCTACAAAGCAAACGAGATAAGAGAACGGAGCTTACCTGAAAGCCAATCGGATTTAATAGCAGTCACCGGGAGTGAATCTCTGAATCGCGCCGAAGAAAGAGAACGGAAGAAAACAGTGTTTTCTCAAAAGAGGAAGCAAACATGGTGGAAAAAGGTCTCCCTAGCCCACTTATAGCAAACTTCGAATATGAAAAGACAGAGGTGACGTTTCGCCTGACTCTGACAGGGCGTGACCCTCGAGGCACGACACGTGGCATCGCAAGAAACAAGGGGAAGGATGTGGTGCGTCCTGACCGCCCCCTAGATGTTCCTGTGCCAGGCTATCACGGCCAGGGGCATGCCGGTAACCATGGGCAGCACGACCCACGATCGCTCAATAACAATGATCAAGATAGCCGCGAAAAGCTAACGCTTGTCGCACTTAAGGGGAAATGTTGGGCCAAGTATTGGAATATGTGGGCCCCAAGGCCCATGGTTACAGCCCACAAACACAAACAGGCTAAACTCTAGCAACTATGCAGGCACAAAGACCCCAAGGCGGTTTTTGTTCTTGACACCAGAAGACCTCCCGACATTAGGGCGTGGTCAGTCTGACAAGACTGCTCGACATAAAGGACCAATGGCCTTTCTGGCCCTTTTTCGTATGAACAATGTCAGAGATTTGTACTGACAAGGCATTTTAATGAGCCCAGAGGTGTCCCAGAACGCCCGACAAGCTATTAAATGCTCAAGCCTCAACTAGAGTTAGTATAAATACCCCCCAAAGGGCAGCATTTATGGTAACTGGTATCGACCACTTTCTCTCTTATTTACTACATTTTCACTTCTCTAACTAACTTTGGCATCATAGGAGGTCACGGGATTCCCTTGAGGATCTTTTCTGCAGGGTTCTCGAGACCGCGCCCATACAATCGAAGACCATTTGTAGTCAGTGAAGCCTCACAAACCGTCTGGTACTAATCAAGCTCAAGCACAACCAACCACTAATTTTTTCCCCTCCACTCACCCTTCACTATTTCACTGCCCCCCCCTTGTTGACAAGATAGTGTTGGTTATTTATTGCTTATGTGTCAGAGTCGGAGATGAATAGGTTAGATAGTATTGTACAATTTCCTATAGATTAAATTTTAGCATTGGATGCTTTGAATTCCTAGTAATAATGGTTGTAGCTAGGATTGTTGATTTCATGATTTATTATGTACGTTTAGTAGTATAACTAGAGATCCACATTTTGAATTTTAGGTATAATAATTGGATATACAAGGCATATATTACCAATTCCCAGGGGCACTCAAAAACCGCAGTTATAGAGATAACGTTGCAAATCTTTTGCCCACATAATTAAGTAATGACATGTATAAGTTTGGGTATTTGAAAATGAGAATGCAAATGGTTTTAGAAAACTCATTGCCATCCTAGTATCACTAGATTACACAAACCTTTTCTATAATAGAAATTAGAAACCCAGTAATCAAACTTAAATATACTTTTATATATATATATATATCATAATTCAACAACATACACAATAAAGAGCATAGAATAACAAGCACCATTGATAGAGCCACATTAGTCTCACTACACTGGTCATCCATACAAATGTGATGGAAGCCTTGGAGACAATAGAACCTCTAGTGGGCTAGCTCTCTGGTAAGTGGATCCCATGGCCTCCCCCATATCAACCTTCGCACCACTAAACGTGGTAGTTCGAAAATCGAACCCTTGCAACAGCGTGGCCAGTGTCAGCTGCACAACGTGGAGAGCAAACGACACTCCGGGGCACATTCTCCGACCAGCGCCAAATGGCAGTAGCTCGAAATCCTGGCCCTTAATATTGGACTGATTTGTACATGTTTTACATTTGGTGTTTATTTTGGTTATTTGCTATATACCTAGTTGATTAGTAGAAGGGTATTTATAGCTTGCTGCACTCGGCAGCCTTCTGTAACAACAAGAAACCTATTCGGCACCCTTGCCAGCTGATAGTGAAACCCTAAGCTGAGAGCGCTAGCTCTCCGTGGACTAGTCCCGATCTTCGGGGAAACCACGTAAAATCTCCGTCTCCTTACGTTTCCGCATATTTTACATGGTATCAGAGCTATAGGTCTGGATTTTTCTTCTTCTTTTTCAACATGGGTGATAAGGACGGGACGAGCGACGTGAAGGGCGCTGCTATTGTTGGCGCGGAGACCATTCCGATCAGCTCGCCGTTGTACCTCCATCCATCGGAGAATCCTGCACAGCTTTTCGGCAGTGATCTCTTGAATGATTCTAATTATGGAGAGTGGGTCAATGATCTCACCGAAACCCTAATCGCCAAAAATAAAATGGCTTTTGTTGATGGTTCTCTTCCGCGATCTCAAGCGGGGTCTGGTGAACGGCAAGCAGCCTGGGATCGCTGTGATGCCACCGTGAAGGGATGGCTGAAGACTGCGATGACGAAGGAAGTGCGTAATAGTGTACGCACAGCCACTACCGCTCGCGCAATATGGGCGGATTTACAAAGCCGATTCAGCAAAGGCTCCTCCCAGCGCGCGTATGAGCTACGTCGGATGCTTGGCTCGGCGCGGCAAGAAAAACAAACGGTCTCAGCCTTTTATACTCATCTTCGGTCATTGTGGGATGAGATGGATGCTGTCGAAGGAGTTGATCGATGCACTTGTGGCGGGTGTATTTGTGATTTGGCACAAAAGCATCGTGTCAAACAGGATACTATTCATTTGTTTGAGTTCTTGATGGGCTTGGACGAGGCTTATTCGGTCGTTCGATCTCAAATATTAAGCACCAAACCTACCCCGACCCTTGCAGACGCTTATCAGCTGATAGCGGCAGAGGAGCAGCATCGCAACCTGACCAGCGCACGCCGTCCTCCTGTTGAGACAGCTGTCTTTCAAGCTCAGGTTCCAGGTGATAAGGGATCACGTGAAGATCCTGATCGACCTCGCTGCTCAAACTGCAATCGTCTTGGACATTCCAAAGACACATGCTACAAGCTAATTGGCTTCCCGCCGGGTCACCCAAAGCATAAGCCGGCTGATGAGCGCGCGGCTAGTACCGGTCGACGTCCCAAAGCATCACATGTTGACTCCGAGTCCAGCGTGTTCCCTGGATTGACTGCAGCCCAGTTCGCCAAGCTTCAGCAGCTGCTTTCGTCCACTCCCGATGCCGCTTCAGAACCCACAGCTCATATGGCGGGTAATTCTCCTGATCTTAATGAATGGCTATTAGATTCAGGGTGTAATGAACATATAGTGAGGGATTCTAAGTGGTTCAGTTCATTGGATAATATTTTGGGTCATTCTCATGTTCGCATTCCGGATGGAACTGGGATCCCGGTTAAAGGCATGGGAACGGTTAAGCTCTCGGATTCACTCACTCTTCGACGCGTATTACATGTCCCCGACTTCAAATGCAACCTCTTGTCCATTAGTCGTTTGACTCGAGATCATGATCTTACGGTAACCTTCTCCCATGATATGTGTATGATCCAGGACTCACTTTCCAAGACGCCGATTGGACTGGGTAGGCTACGGGACGGCTTGTACTACCTGCAGCAATTTGGCGAAGGATCTGGACATGCTCGAGGTCTTCCTCCTCAAGCCTGCAAGGTTGATCGACAAGCCCTATCTCGAGAGTTGTGGCACGTTCGGCTAGGCCACCCTTCTTTAGACAAGTTGCTTTTACTAAAGGATGTTGTTGGTTGTAGTATGGATTCTCGTAGTTCATTCATTTGTGAGCCTTGTTTTCGGGCCAAACAAACACGTAATCCATTTCCTTTGAGCTCAATCAAGACTAGTAGCTGTTTTGATCTTGTTCACGTTGACATATGGGGGCCGTATCGTGCACAGGCAACAGATGGGTCGAGTTATTTCTTAACTCTTGTTGATGATTATAGTCGTGGTACTTGGATCTATTTGATGAGATTTAAGTCTGATACAGAACGTTATCTACGGCTGTTTTTTGCTATGGTTCGCACTCAGTATGGGAAACAGGTTCGTCGCATCCAGGCTGATAATGGCCCGGAATTTCAGACCACGGCTCTCCGTGATTATTACGAGGAGCATGGAATTATTCTTCAAACTACTTGCACGGACACCCCCCAACAGAATGGGGTTGCGGAACGCAAGCACAGGCATTTATTGGATACTGCTCGTTCGCTTATGTTCCATGCAGGTCTACCGATACGTTTTTGGGGAGAGTGTGTGCTTACGGCGGCTTACCTCATTAATAGGTTGCCATCAGTTCCTCTTTCCCAGAAAACACCTTTTGAGATCTTGCTGGGTCGTACTCCGACGTATGCTCACTTACGCAGCTTTGGATGCCTTGTTTACACCAAGGATACTCACCATGGATTAGACAAGTTCGCTGCCCGCGGAAGAGCAGGTGTTTTTGTTGGCTATCCTGGAACTCAAAAGGGATATCGTGTCTATGATCTTCACACTAAAAAGATTATTACTTCCCGCGACGTTCAGTTCGTGGAACAAACCTTTCCATTTCGTTCCTCGGCCTCACCTTTCCCCAACTGTCAACCGCTACCTGGAGACCCTCTCATGGCTAGCATGTCTCCCATTCGGCCATGTTTTGATATTCCTCCAGAAGACTTGGAGCGGCAGGAGGGTTCTTGTCCACTTGAGAATGGTTCTTGGCCACTTGAGAATGGCAAGTCGGTTGATATGTTGTCCCAACATGATGCTTCTAATCCTATGATGGATAATGAAGCATTTGATGACGTCGGATCTTCAGGGAGTTCTCCTCTCCGCAATTCCACTGACCCCGACTCTCCTATTGTGCCATCCGAACCTCCTGGCGATGCTTCTAACCCACTTGCTGACCTCGGGGTTGACTCGCCCGCTGCTGTTGAGACGCAGCCTGCTGCTAATGCCCCACGACGTGGGTTACGCCAACGCAAGCCTCCATCTAAATTGGACATCTATGAGGTAACTTTTCCCTCTTCCTCTAGTCACGTCCAGTTCCCTTTATCTCATCATGTTAGCTATCATCGATTTTCTGCTAATCATTGTGCTTTTTTGGCATCCATTACGGCAATTACCGAACCTCGGACTTTCTATGAGGCCGTCAAGTATGCCTGGTGGCGGGAAGCAATGCAGAAGGAAATCGACGCCCTTGTCGCTAATGGGACGTGGACTTTGGAACTTCTACCCCCGGGGAAGCGACTCATCGATTCCAAATGGGTCTATAAAATCAAGTTTTTGCCGGATGGTTCTATTGAGCGTTTCAAGGCCCGTCTGGTGGCCAAGGGATTTACACAGCTAGAGGGAATTGACTTCCATGATACCTTTGCTCCGGTGGCCAAATTGGTTACTGTTCGTGTTCTGCTTGCTGTTGCAGCACAACGTAATTGGTCGCTCCATCAACTTGACGTGAACAACGCCTTCCTGCATGGTGATCTTGAGGAAGAGGTTTACATGCGAGTTCCTCAAGGGTTTGAGAAAGCAGGCGATAACAGGGTTTGCCGTCTCCGAAAATCTCTATATGGACTACGTCAAGCGTCAAGGAATTGGTATGCAAAGTTTGCTACTGCTCTCCAGGAATTCGGCTTCACTATGTCTCGAGCCGACCCTTCACTCTTCACATATAATGCAGATGGTGCTTTTGTTGCTGTGCTCATATATGTAGATGACGTCGTCCTGACCGGTGATGCTCCCGAGGTAATTTCTCGTGTCAAGAGTTTTCTTCATCAGCGTTTCAGCATCAAGGACTTGGGACCCCTCAAGTATTTTTTGGGCATCGAAGTTGCTCGCTCCCCTGATGGCATTGTTCTGAGTCAGCGTAAGTATGCATTGGATATTTTGAAGGATTCTGGTGTTGGTGCTGCTCGTCCTAGCAATTTCCCTATGGAGCAGAATCACACTCTCACTCGTCCCACTGATGATCGTGCTGATGATGTCGGTGCTTATAGACGTCTTATAGGGCGTTTGCTCTATCTCACCATTACTCGTCCAGATATTGCTTATTCCGTCAATGTGCTGAGCCAGTTTGTTCATGCACCCAGTCCTGCTCATGTTGATGCAGCACACCGTGTCTTGCGCTATCTCAAGACTGCTCCCGGACAAGGTCTCTTTCTGCCTGCTACCGGTTCGTTGACTCTTACTGCTTACAGCGACTCGGATTGGGCTGGTTGCCAATCCACACGTCGGTCTACTACGGGGTACTTCATTCAACTGGGTGGCGCTCCTGTCTCTTGGCGTGCTAAAAAGCAGCGTGTGGTTTCTCGCTCCTCGGCCGAAGCCGAGTATCGTGCTATGGCCAGTGCCACCAGTGAAGTCCTTTGGCTTCGTTTTCTTCTTCGCGAGCTGCAGGTTCCTTCACCAGCTCCCACGCCACTTTATTGTGATAATCAGGCAGCACTTCACATTTCTGCTAATCCTGTTTTTCATGAACGCACTAAGCATGTCGAGATGGATTGCTATTTTGTGCGTGAGCGTGTGAGTTCAGGCGAGGTTCTTCCCACGAAGATTGGTACTTCCCAGCAACTCGCTGATATATTCACCAAGGCGCTTGGTGCGGATCAGTTCCATACTCTTTTGTCCAAGCTTGGCATTCGAGATCTCCATGCTTCAGCTTGAGGGGGCGTATTGGACTGATTTGTACATGTTTTACATTTGGTGTTTATTTTGGTTATTTGCTATATACCTAGTTGATTAGTAGAAGGGTATTTATAGCTTGCTGCACTCGGCAGCCTTCTGTAACAACAAGAAACCTATTCGGCACCCTTGCCAGCTGATAGTGAAACCCTAAGCTGAGAGCGCTAGCTCTCCGTGGACTAGTCCCGATCTTCGGGGAAACCACGTAAAATCTCCGTCTCCTTACGTTTCCGCATATTTTACACTTAACATCCACATTCTTGTGAGTTGTCGTCAGAAAACGTTCAGGACGAAATTCATTTGGCTCGACCCACACGTGCGGATCTCGCTGAAGCTTGAAATAATTGAGCACGAGTTGCGTGCCCTTGGGGATGTGACGACCCGCCACAACACAGTCCTCTCCGGATGGACCCCGCATGTTGACCGGAACGGGAGGGTAAAGGCGGAAGGTCTCTTTCACTACGGCTTGTAGGTAATGCAAGTTGGGAAGGTCGGATTCTTGGACTTGCCTTTCCATTCCGACTAGGTCTTCTAACTCGATTTGGGCCTTTTTTAGGGCTTCAGGATGGTTCATGAGTAGAGATAAAGCCCAAGACATGACTACTGTGGACGAGTCGGAAGCTCCCAATACAAGACCCTGCAAAGAGTAATAAGAAGTGAAAAGGACAGAGACACTTCCCAACTCTAAACAAACAAAAAACAAACTAATTCAAACATTCACGATAAACGAAACATGTACGATCAAATTACCACGCAAGTAGCTTTATTGACAGCATCAGCATCATGACGTTCTGCACCGTATTCGTCGAGAATGCTAAGCAACACACCCATGAAATCGTCTCCATCCAGCTTCTCCGTCGTCCCTCCTCCATCACAACGACTCTCTTTGTGCTCTCTTAACCATTCGTGCACAACGTCGTCCAGGTCCTTGGCTATCCTCTTCAACGACTCCTCGTGACCCCCAATATCAAACCGCCTCAGCCACGGAAACACATCACCAACCCCAAACTTCTCAACCGAGTCGAAGTAATCCCTCACCAACTTCTTCAACTTCGCACTCTCCTCATCCCTGGATGTGTAATATCCCACCCTCTTCCCGAACACAACCCTCAATATCCCGTTCAACGCCACGTCACCGAACCATCCCATCATCTCCACCGAAACGGTGTCGTTTTTCCCGCCCTTCCTCGCCTGTCTCCAGAGGTCGTACAGCTCTCTGGTGGCAAGGCGGATCTCGGATTCCCGAACCGGTTTTAGCAACCGGAGCCGGTGCGACGAGAGGAGCTCTATTGTGACGAGCTTCCGCATCTGTCGCCAAAAGTGGCCGTACGGGCTGAAGGCGAACATGGCGCCGTCGTAGCCCAAGATCTCCCCGGCGGTGGTTTGGAGACGGTTGACGATGAACGCCTTGTCGTTTGTGGTCAAACATTCCTTTGCGGTCTCCCAGTCGCTGACCACGATTGCTCTTTGGGCTCTCCCCATTTTGAGGGTGAAGATTGGGCCGTATCGATCCGCCATGTCGCCGAGAACTCTGTGAAGGGGCCTCGGCCCACGTAAGAGGTGGAGGTGGCCTATTACGGGCCAGGCTCCATCCACCATTGTTGGTGTAACTCGTTTTACGTGACCATTATTTGAGGTACTTGATTTCAAGAGAAGGATGGAGATGATGATGATGATGATGATAAGGGCATAGAAAGAAACTGCAGCGGAAGGATTGAGGTTGGAGATTAGTGAATGGATGAATAATGTCGCCATAGTTGGGGAGCTAGATAGGAACTCCAATTATTGTATATATGTGATCGTGTTTAGTTCCCTATATATTATATATATATATATATATCTTGAGTTTCTTGGCCTTAACGAAAGCGAGAGGGCACTGATCAAAGGAAAAACAGCGTAATTTACAGGCGGGAAACTGTTTTAAACCATTAATTATATGCAAGAAAGGTTATAATATATGTAGTAATAGAATCTCAAACTACTTAACCAAGTTCATGAATTAGCATCTTCGTTTTGTCTTTATAACGGTAGTTAGGAAGTCAAATATATGGCAAGTGGAGCAACCGGGAATCTGTGGTGGTTAGATGCCTTGAGGGTCAACGACAGAGATAAATACAACAAAAAGCAGACGTGTAACAAGCCTTAAAAAAAGCAACCAAGAAGGGTTAAAGAATGTTTGATGCCCTCGTAGTATCATTAAAAGTTAATTACAAGCATATTCTTTGAGTTTCAAACGCCTGAGCTATATGTAAGTGTAACACATTCGTGGAGGGGAACGGGGTGTAGGAGCGAGAACGTAAGAGCATCAAATTTGAAAGAACTCAATATTAAGAGCATGAACAGAACATTATTAATTATTATCACATAGACATATACTATATAGTATTTTTTAAGCAAATAGTACATAGTAACTAAAATATACAATTATCAAACAAAAGTTAATTTTTTTAGGACTTTGCTGTAGTAACTTGGACAAAACAATTAATTGTATCCACAAATCACTTTTAGACTACACCATGAAATTAAAAATGAAACGGAGCCAAAACCCATGACCAAGTGACTAAAAAATGAAATGTAGGCTAGTGTGGGTTGAATCATCTTTCAATATTTAATTTTAGATTATAAATTATGAACAATATCATGATGATCAAAAGGTGAAAAGTGGCAGGATAATAGAGTAATAGACTATTAGCCCATTCATCTTCAATTCTAATAAACCACTATTATTTCTTGAATCTCTCCTCTCACAATAAACTATGGCTCCCTCACTGCAAAATTGGATTGGAAGTAGTGAAATTAGTAGCTAAAACATGGTATAATAGATTTATAAATACCTGTGGTCTATAAATAATTTTGGGTGTTGCTCTCTTTGGTACAAATTAACAACACAACTATAAAGTTATTTCGCATGGTAAAAGCAAAAGGCTGAGAATACAACTACGTACGATCGACCTACACCATTTCCTTTTAAGTCACATCATCCATACAAATGCTCCGGTAGTCTCGGAGACAACAAAACCTCCAGCGGCCGAGCTCTCTCACAAATAAACCCGCCGCCTTCCTCCATATCAACCCGCCCGCCGTCTCCCGCCGTCCGAAAATCGAACCCTTGCAACAACATGGCCAACGTCAGCTGCATAACTTGAAGAGCGAACAACACGCCGGGACACATCCGCCGTCCACTACTAAACGGAATCAGCTCGAAATCCTGCCCCTTTACGTCCACGTCCTTGTGCGTGGTCAGGAACCGGTCGGGCCGAAACTCGTCCGGTTCGACCCACACCCGCGGGTCACGCTGGATCTTGTAGAGGTTGATGAAGAGCCGCGTGCCCTTCGGGATGTGGTGGCCGGCGACGGTGCAGTCCTCGCCGGACTCGCCGCGCATGGTGAGCGGGCCGGGCGGGTACAGGCGGAGGGTCTCTTTGACGATGGCCGTGAGGTACGGCAAGTTGTGGAGGTCCGATTCCTGGACCTGTCTGTCGTGGCCCACCACGTGGTCCAATTCGAGTTGGGCTTTCTTAAGGGCTTCCGGGTGGTTTAGGAGGAGGGAGAGGGCCCAAGACATGGTCACTTTTGTTGAGTCAGAAGCTGCCAGCGTAAGAGACTGCAAGGGATAGTAAAATAGGTTACGGGATAAGTTATGAATTAAATATGTACGTATATTTTAGTTCATCTAATTAAAATAAATTAACAGATATTAAATATATATAAACTTTTAATATAAATTATTATATAAATACTAGTTAAGTTAGCAATTTAACTCATTAAATATGAATATTAAACATGTTATACGGATTTTATACATGTTTAGTACAGAGTTCAAACAACAATGAAAAGAATTGACAATAATATAAATACAGAATTTTTAAATAAATAAAATACTTATGACGTGAAAGGAAGAAATAATGTTTTCTTAATACATTTACAAGAGAATAGACTATATTGTTTTTCTTTATAGCGCTATTGATTTGTCTTTTGTTGAGGTGATATAAATAATAATAATATTTATTGGATGGGTAACGTACGTAGTTGGTAACTTGATAGAGATTGGTGACCTAGAGATGTTGATTAAATGAGGGTTTGAGTAGAAAACTTGAGTTAATCTCATGATATATAAATAATTATTTACTGAAATCTATGGTCAATTTTGAGGGTTTGAAAAATATGAGTATTCATCAGGATTCTTATCATAAACCGAGTTGTTGAGAAATTTCTTTAATTATTGATTTTATTGCTCTTTTATATGCTTCGTCAACTTAAAGCCAACTCACGAGTTTTAAATTTATATATGCCCATCATATATTGTGTTTAAATAAACTATTTAATTTTGATAATCGCTAAGATTTGATCGTACGAGAACGTCATATCTGATTCAATATCACAAATTGTTTGATTTGAATTTTAAGGAAATTAAAAGTTGATTATAAATTTTATAACTCAATGCAACGACATGTAATAAACGATGATTATTGATTATAGAGCGAAATCAAATTACCATGCAAGTAGCCTTGTTGACCGTATCGCAATCCCGACCTTCAAACAACGTCTTCCTCTCTTCATCATCATATTCATCAAGAATATTGAGCAACAAATCCATGAAATCATCCTCCACCTTCCCCACCCTCCCCTCTCTCTTCTCCTTGTGCTCCACCAACCACTCCTGCACGACGTCGTCCAGAGCCTTCGCCGTCTTCTTCAGCTCCTTCTCGTGCCCGCCGACGTCCAGTCGCCTCAGCCAAGGAACCACATCCCCGAGCCCGAACTTCTCCAGCGAGTCGAAAAAATCCCTCGCCAGCTGCTTCACCTCCCCGCTCCGTTCATCCCTCGAGCCATAATACCCGACCCGCTTCCCGAACACGATCCTCAGTATCACGTTCAGCGTCACGTCGCCGAACCACGATATCATCTCCACCGCCACGGCGCCGTTGCGTTCACCCTCTGTCACGGCACGTAAGGGTATTTTTGTCAATGACTAAAACTCACTTCTATTTATTGATGATAATGAAAAAATAACGATACTGGGGTGTTACTAGTATAATTTAATTTGACTTATGTAGATTCATTTAGATTTTCTATTGACGTATTGATTTATAAAATTAGTATATTTACTATCAATTAATAGAAGTTTTAAAAGAATATTTGACACAATAAAGAACACACTTCAATATCAAATGAAATATATATGAGAATGAAACATTTAAAATATGAAAAAGAACTCGTATTATAAACAAATAATAAAATTATGGCTACGCCACTAGCTAGTATATAACACTATCACATTGATTTATGTTATCGATGATGCTAATTAAGATTATCATGTTGGTCATTTTAAACAAAATCATGACTAAACCACTGGAAAAAAAAAGAGAACATACCTAATTTCAATTTTTGGCTCTGTGTCTGGCCAGCTCGGCCCCACAGCTCGTAAAGCCCCCTCACGGCGACGCGAGTCTCCTCCGCCCGGACCGGTCTGAGCAACTCGAGTCGGGCGGAGGAGAGGAGCTCCAGGGTGGCGAGCTTCCTCATCTGGCGCCAGTAGTGGCCGTAGGGCGTGAACCCGAAGACGGAGTAGTTGTATCCCAGCGTCTCCGTGGCGATGGTGTGGGGACGCCGGGCGATGAACGCCTTGTCGTTTGTGGTTAAACACTCCTTGGCGATCTCCCACTTGCTGACCACGATGGCCTTCTGGTGGGCCCGGCCCATCCGGATGGTGAAGATGGGCCCGTATTGGTCGGCCAGGCTGCCGAGCACCCTGTGGATGGGGCCCGGCCCGCTGAAGAGGTGGAGGTGGCCTATTATCGGCCAGGCTCCGCCGACAGCTCGCGGCCCGCTGTGGCGGCCGAAGCGGGTTGATCGCCATAGGAGGATGGAGACGATGAAGAGAAATATGGATGCGACGACGGGGATAGAGGGGAGTGAGTTGATGAATCTCTCCATGGTGGAGAGGTTTGTATGGTCTGTAATTCGTAGCAATGGTGCATATATAGAGAGAGATAAAGAACAAAAAACAAAATAAAACAACATGATTTACGTGTCGTTAGACTATTCTTAAAAGGAAGCCAGGCCGCTTCAACTTCCTTATCACATGGCCATTATTATTATATAATTATTATCTGCATACTGTAGTTAGCAGACATTTTGTTTTAGAAATCGAGATCAAATGTGCTCACATGGTCAAATTTATCCTTCGGGTGTGTTCTCTAGGGGGAAAGAACTTTGGTACGAGTAAAATATTACCAACAAAGTACTGGTCATCTTCTGTGTGAATAATTTATTTAGAAATGGACCTCAAGATCAAAGGTGCTTACATAGTCAAATTTATCCTTCGGGTGTTCTCTCTTGAAAAACTTGTCTACTGATAGCAATTTGGACCGGCCTCGTCGGGTGTTACCCGATCTGATCCGCGTTGGGGCGGGTATTACCCGACCCGTAGTAGCGTGGTGGTAGGGCATGGGTAATTGGGTATCAACTTCCTACCCTCCCTGCCAGCCACGCCCCAGCCCATTCTTGACCCGTTCTAGGTCAATTTTTTATGCCATCCATGCATATATATCATAATTTAGCTTTTCATTTAATAGTTAGACTTGATCTTTCAACTAAATAGACTCAATTACCCATTATATTATCACTATTATTCATTCATGAAGTCTTTTCAACTAAATTTACTAAAGCAGGCAGCTAGTGGATATAGGTATGGACACACAATGCACGATTGATTTGTCTAGCGTTGACGCTGCTCGTATCACCAATTACTACGGGGAGAACCTTTTCAACAATGAAACATATGAAAACTGATTTGTGCAACAAAACGAGCGATGAATTTCTCGCCGATTGCTCAAGCATTTTATTTAAAACAGTGTATACTATTGGTATGGATGTGGACTCCACTATTGATGTATTCGCTAAATTAAAATACCGTCGTTACAATTTATATTGTAAAAAACTATACTATTTTTTTTACGGTTCTAATTTTCTAATGAAATGCGGCCCAGTGCTTTTCTATGTTCTGAATCCGCCGCTGCCTATTATCGGCCAGGCTCCGCCGACAGCTGGCGGCCCATTGTGGCGGCCGGAGCGGGTTGATCTCCATAGGATGATGGAGACGATGTAGAGAAATATGGAGCCGACGACGGGGATAGAAGGGAGTGAGTTGATGAATCTCTCCATGGTGGAGGAGGTTAGGTGCTCTGTAATTCGTAGCAACGGTGGATATATATAGAGAGAGGGATAAGAAATAGGTTGGCCATGATTTACGTGTCGTTGACTTTTTTTAAAAGGAAAGCCAGGCGGCTTCAACTTAATTCTCACATGGCCAACTTAATCTGCATACTGTGGTTAGCAAACTTAATCTTGTCATTAACTACGGTTCCATTCTTCGTTGGTCTCCTTTGCTCACATGGTCAAATTTATCCTTGGGGTGTAGAACTGGCAATCGGGTCGGGGTCGGTCGGGTAATTTCGACTTGTGGATTTCGGTTATGGATCGGGTCATATTTGGTTGGCTGATTTCTGGTCAAATATTGACACAACCCATTCAGTTTCGGGTCAGATTACAGGTTATTCCGGGTTATGAGCGTTTTCAGAAACAATATCAAACATGCTTCATATTTTCATAAAGAACACTAATTTTCACATATGCATGACAATAGTTTACCTAACACATGTCAATTAACATATTTTCAAATCCTCCCACGCTAATGAAATGAAATACAAATTGCGCAAATCGTAAAAAAACAATCACAAGAGTAATACTACTACCAGAAACACATGATATTTGATTATCCTCAAACTCCAAACATGTCATTCGAATCCTTGTGATTATTTTTAAACATCTCGCCAATTTATGTGTGATTTGATCATTTTGGGAGTGATATATAAAATGGAACGGGTCTAACGGGTTGACCCGCTAACCCACCCAGCCCGACCAAAAAACTCACGGGTTATCGGGTTTGGGTCATTCAGATTTCGGGTTACAAAAATTTCTACTTTTTGGGTGGTTTTGGGTCGGGTCAACGGGTCGGGCTGTAATTTGCCAGGTCTATTGGGGTGTGTTTTCTAGGGGCAAAAAAAAACTTTGATCCGAATAATTAATTACCAACAAATTACTGTTTTCAAAGAGGAAGAAACATTTTTTGTCGAATAGGTATTAAAGAGCTGCCCATATGTGGCAAGAATGCTCTCTTATCGTTAGTCGGTTTCAGCTTGAAAAAGCTTTATTTTTTACACTATATCTCATGTTTCCTTTTTTGGGAATATCTATAAAAAAAACAACAAGAGCTAGATTCACTGTTGGAATTGATGCAGAATATTTTTATATATGAACAATGGGGGAAGAAATTGATTAGGGGTTTGGTGAAAGAATATATGGGCTGAGATGAGTGCTTTTTTCTAATTTATTTTTTATTATAAATATTTCTTATAAATAATAAGTTGTAATTTAGTTATTTCTTATTGTTTAAATCATGGTTTGACCAAACTTAACGATTTTGAATGGAAAATCAATCAGAAAGCATGGTTAAAATAGAGGGCATTTTTTACTTAAAATATAGTAGAAGGGCAAGTTTAAGAAGCATAGTAGAGGGCCACAATTTTCTATTAACCCTTTTTAATGTAAATTAAGAATCAAACAAAAATTTAAAATGAAACCACTCGTGTTTTGGCACTTCCTATAAAATTTTTATAATTATCGGACACTTAATTGACAAAGAAAATGAACGGTTCCAAAATGTTAATTTGCAACGGGTCGTCGAGCCGCTTACAGCCTAGCACAACACGATATGATTAGAGCACCGCACGAGCACAATTACGAAATATATAGATCAGGTCAACACAAACACGAATAATTTATTTGTGCAGGATATATCTGCAACATCAATCCTTTCGTCCCACCGAGCAACTTCGCTCATCATCGAATTAATCCTTCCCCCGGACATCCCAATTTATTTTCGATAGATTTGATTAAACAGTCTGTTGCAGAAGTTCCATCTCAAAGGATTGTAAGATGATAGCTGAAAAGTAGTTCCATCTCAAATAACTGTAAGATGATAGCTTAAAAGTTGATACACTTACAGCACGTTCCATCCATATCCCCAATTGACATACACATCCAGTGACTTGAATAATACTTTTTTCAAAGTCAATTTTGAGACGATTGATCAATCAAATTATTTTATTGTCCTGTACAAACAACAAATTATTTTATTGTCCTTATTATCTGCATACTATGGTCAGGGTACTTAATTTCTCATGTACTACAGTTCCAATTCTTCGTTGGTCTTCGTTCATGGTCATCTTCTGTGTGAATAATTTATTAAGAAATGGACCTCAAGATCAAAGGTGCTCACATAGTCAAATTTATCCTTCGGGTGTTTTACTTTGTCATCAATTATTCGTAGGTTTTCCTTGCCGTATCAAAGTTTGGTTTTGCGTACAGAGTAGGAATTCACTTTTCACTGTTGTTCTTAAAATTGTGTAATCCACGATGAAATTATCGTCTTTCGGTCGACAAGTGATTCAACCAATCAACTCATTCATTATATGTTATTTTCTATAAGGTGTTGTTTGTTGAAATATCAGAATACGGCGGAAACTGTTGTGTATTATTACTAATACCACAAAGGTTTATATAGAGTACAGCGACAGACTTCTATAATAACCCTAACACTAATACGGTAATTATCTAATTTCTATGACTCTGATTAGGAATATAACATTGCTCAATTACATAACAGTACTCGTAGTATAACATAATACTACTCGTACTACCCATACTCTAATAGTTGTTATCATCAATGAACCTTATCCTTCTTATGACAATTATCATGCCCTGTAGTTATATTTTTTTATATTCAAGGTAAGCCCAGAGAGCATAAACAAATTATAAGATTATAACAAAAGCTGACAATAACCAAGCACGATAGTCTCTACCTGCATAATTTCCTACGTAAGAGAGGATTTAACACAACCAACAACACTGATGAGGTTCGTTCGTGTACTTAATTTGCAACAAATCAAGCACTAAACCCTAAACCCAAAAGAAAAGAAAACCCACTGATCAGCGCAAAGTACATCGTTCCGTCAGTCTACGTTAACTTTTCAGTTTACGACTTAGCTAGATAGAAAATGGGTAAGTCTCGTACCTAACGTGACAATTGTCAGCCTTAAATTCAGCACCTTTGGCGTCAACGCAGTGTTGATCCATCAGCATAGCAACATGTCTCAGACAAGCCTTGCAATCCGCCAAGCTCAGTAGCTCACCCCGTCTCCACAAACCGCCATGGAATATGACACGCCGGCCCCGGCGCCGGACAGCTTAGATCGGCTTTATTCACGAAAGGGTCTTCCCCGGACCACAACGTGAGAATCCGCTTGAACTGACCCTTGCAAGAAATCAACCTTTCGTCTGCCTCTGGGTCGTACTTTCTAGTGTTGCAACCGAACGCAACACCGTTGTCGCCGTCAGCAGCGGCTGCACGGTAATTATTATGATCGGTAGCACCAAGCAGCAGCAAAAATGCAATTGTAACGAGCACCAACGTCCCCGTTGTAGTTGATAATTTTGGCGCTGCCATTGTTTTTCCTTCTTCTTCTTATCCTTTGTTTCTGTTTTGTGTGTGAATGTTTTTGGTGGCCGATAGATTGTACTTGTTTATATAGGCATGGCTGCATGCATGGCCGTTAGTGGCGAACCGTATCGTAGAAAACGGTAGACTAATGAAGGATCGATGGCCGGCCAGCGGCGGAGGAGTTATGTCGGGTAACGATTGTACTTTTTCTATGATGGTTGTAATCTTATGGTTATGGTTATGGTTATGGTTAGGAATTATCATCGTCGACTCCGTCAGCTGAAGGATAGAGAAGAGGGAAATCATGTGTCTCCGGTGGTGGAGCTGTGTGAAGAAACTCAGTCCAACATGATTCGAGGAGGCCGGCAAAATG